TAATCACCCTATATCACATGCATCTCCATAAAGTGTATTGAGATATACCTTGAATTCATTTTTGCTTTGTCATCATCCTTTATAACAGAATGGCACTTTATATTACATCATATATTTTTAGACTGGATAATATGTTAAAGGTGTCTTCTGTCTTCAGTATATACTGAGGTATATTAGGATTCTCTGAAAATATAAATATTATTTGCATCTCATCTTTTCTATTTTCTTGAAATGGTAAGAAAAGGGAAATTTTTGTAGTAATAAAATGCAGGATTCCTGATTCAACAGCAGTGAACCTTTTATATATTCAGCAAGGATTTATTGATTCCTTCTTTAGTTAAAGTTTCTTCTACTACATAATCAATTCCTCTTTCAAGTCTTTTACATAAAGCAGAGCAAAACAAAAGTTTCCTTCTGGCCCATATTACTATTTAGACGTAATGCTGTGTCTCTTATTACATTATATCAGTTAGCTTTTGCTGCATAACAAACCACCTCAAAACTTCGTGGTTAAAACAACAATCATTTATTTAGCTCTGATTGTTGTGGGTTGGCAATTTGGGCTGTATTTCAGCCGGTCACAGGCCAGATTGCTTGGTGGCTATCTGGTCTTGGGTGGCCTCACTGGGCTGGCTTGCTTTGATTCATGAGGTCTCTTGTCTTCTAGCGGGCTAGCTTGGGCCAGCTCACCTGGCTTCTAGGCAGAGTTCGGTAACATTTTTGACAACTCCCTTTTTGATGTTCTCTTTTCCATTGTTTTCAGTGACACCTTCCTCTCCTGGTTTTCCTCTTATCTTTCTTAAAACTTATCCATCGATCTGTCCATCCATTTGTCTATCCATCCACCTGTCCATCTGTCTGTTCCTCCCCTGGGAATCTCCTCCTGTATTTTCCATTGCAGTTGGTAACAACACCACCAACATTGTTTCCTAGTCTGGAAAACCTGGGAATCACACTGTAATTATTGCTGCTTCTTATTAAACAGTGACTATTTGCCAGTCACTGTACCAAATGTTTACCTTAGATTTTTACATTTAGGCTTCATAAAAGCCATATGTTATAGGCATTACTATCTCCACTCCATGAAACAGATGAGGGTGATTGAGTATTTGCCCACGGTCCCACTGTTTAGTGTGCAGAGATGGTTTTTGAACCCAGTTCCTTTTGGCTCCAAAGCCCGTGCTTAACATTAAGTCACACTGATAAACCACATAAACAGGGCCCTCAGATATGTTTTATTTACCAGAGAAATGACTTATCAACATTTTAAAATAGTAAGGGTTCAAACAAGAATCTGGATTTCAGATATTTCTTGAAAATTTAGAAGATCTGGTAACTGGCCTCACATTCAAATGGCAGCAGTTGGCTGCAGGGGGGTGGTGGCCACCCCCTTTGGAAGGCCATGAGTTTTCCAGTTTGCCACAGTCCCTGCCACTCCCTACTGCCTTACAGTTGGCCCGCTTCCTTCATCAACATGGTCTGCTGGACTCCTGCTGGCATTAGAGGTTTTTTTTTTTTGCTGTATGCGGGCCTCTCACTGTCGTGGCCTCTCCCGTTGCGGAGCACAGGCTCCGGGCGCGCAGGCTCAGCGGCCATGGCTCACGGGCCCAGCTGCTCTGCGGCATGTGGGATCTTCCCGGACCGGGGCACGAACCCGTGTCCCCTGCATCGGCAGGCGGACTCTCAACCACTGCGCCACCTGGGAAGCCCGGCATTTGAGTTTTTGACTCCTGTTACATTGTGTCCCTAGGCCCTGCCCTCTCTTCAGTTTTTCTACCATCCAGTTAGTCCCTGAACTAACAATGTTATGTTACTTGTAAAATAATTGTCCAATCTGCCTCACATTCTTTATCCCTATTGCTACAAATTGGTCCTTATGACCTCTCACTTCAATTACTCTAGTAAACACCTGGTTTCCTCTTTCCAGTCTCAGACTCCACTAATACACTCTCCACGTTGCTTGCAATTAAGCATATCAAAACCACGCAAATAGTTGATGTCCAGTGACCTTAGAATGTAGTGCAGTCTCTTTAGTGTGGCATGTAAGATGTTCATGTTGTGGCCTCTGATCAGTGCCCTCATTTATGCTTGCTTTCCATCTCCTCTTGGCCTCATTGAAATATTGGCTCTCCCCAGAGTCATGATCCTTCACATCTCCTCACCTTTTTATCCACCATTCTTTCAACTTGGAGTATTCTATGTGGATCATATTAATATTTGTAACCGAGTATATCAACGTGAATGTAGAGTGATTACTTTCCTAAAATTCATTTTTCCTTTATTTTGACTTGATTGGTAAGTCTCTTATTTCTTCTTTCACCAATATCCAAGCAGAATAGAAACACAGGGGCTTCCCTGGTGGCGCAGTGGTTAAGAATCTGCCTGCTAACGCGGGGGACATGGGTACGAGCCCTGGTCCGGGAAGATCCCATATACCACGGAGCAACTAAGCCCGTGAGCCACAACTACTGAGCCTGCGCGTCTGGAGCCTGTGCTCCGCAACGAGAGAGGCCGCGACCATGAGAGGCCCGCGCACCGCGATGAAGAGTGGCCCCCGCTTGCCGCAACGAGAGAAAGCCCTACGCACAGAAACGAAGACCCAACACAGCCCAAAATAAAAAA